CTAACAGCAGCGTATGAGGCCTTAAACCGATCGGACCCTGAGGCGACAAGGGCCTGCTGGTTGTGTTATGACATAAAACCCCCCTTCTACAAAGCCGTAGGTCTAGCTGCCCCTTTTTCACAATCAGGAGAAGAGTCGCCAGCAGCTTGCAGGTGGAATCGAAAGAGCCCCGGCCTCACACTGCAAGCAGTCACTGGCAATGGGACTTGTATAGGAAAGGTCCCCTCCAGCCATATCCAGCTCTGTGCCCCGACTAATTACTCTATAAATGAATCTAAATGGATAATTCCAGCTCCTGACAGTTGGTGGATTTGTTCTAAGACAGGGCTCACCCCATGTGTTAGCAGAAATGTTTTTAATTCGTCAACCGAATATTGTATCATGGTATTAGTATTTCCAAAGGTTATTTACCACCGAGAAAATGTTGTATATGATCTGTGGACAGAAGGGATGGAAGCAAGAGAGTCAATAAGAACAAAACGGGAGCCCTTTACGGCCATAAACTTGGCCACCTTATTTGGCCTCAGTACCATAGGGGCAGGAACAGGGATCTCATCACTAGCCATCCAGCACCAGGGGTTCAATAGCCTAAGGGCAGCCATTGATGAGGATATAGCCAGACTTGAGGACTCAATCTCGCACCTCGAAAAATCTCTGACCTCCCTTTCTGAAGTAGTCCTACAGAACGGAAGGGGGCTAGATCTAGTCTTCCTCCAACAGGGAGGTTTATGTGCAGCCTTGAGAGAAGAATGCTATTTTTATGCTGACCACACCGGAGTAGTCCGAGAGTCCATGGCTAAAGTTAGAGAAGGCCTGGCCAAACGGAGGCGTGAGCAAGAACAACAACAAGGCTGGTTTGAATCTTGGTTCAATCAGTCCCCATGGCTAGCCACCCTGCTTTCTACTCTAGCTGGGCCCCTTATACTCCTCCTCCTCCTCACCTTCGGGCCTTATATTATTAATAAGCTAGTTGCCTTTATCAAAGATCGGGTTAACACGGTCCAACTAATGGTCCTTAAAACCCAATACCAACCTATCGTTACCGAAACATTTGAATCAGACACATAAGACCCAAGATTGGCTCTTGAGGCACCAAAGAAAGGGGGGAATGAGAGACTAAAGAAAAATTATCAGGTGTACCCACAACCGCAAGGAAAAGACCCCCCCCTTCTCCGCCGTTCCTGGAACCAGCCAGGGGGTGCCCGGTTGTGGTTTGACCTAAAGGCGGGAACCAATCAAGTTCTGCTGAGTGTTCAAATTTAAATGTCAACCAATAACAGCTCTGTAACCGCGAAAAATCCCTAACTTCCCCATAACCTGTTTGTGCCTGTCTATAAAAGTGCCGTAAAAACCTCGCTCAGGGCCTCTTTGCGTCACCGGCAACGAGTGCGCAGAGGTCCGGGTTCGAACCTGCAATAAACGACCCTTGCCGCTTGGCTTTGACTCTGGACTCTGGTGGTTTGTTTTCGGGGGTCTCTCGAATCGGGGCATATCATACTCACATACAATCTCATTCTGGCCTCCCTGGCCCCTTAGCAGAAGGGAACGCTACAGCGGATTCCTTATTGGCAACTCCTGTTATTACAGCACAAGATTTTCACAATCCGACTCATATTTTTTTTTAATTTTTTGAAGTTTATTTTATTTTTTGAGACAGAGAGAGTCAGAGCATGAACGGGGGAGGGCGAGAGAGAGAGGGAGAGGGAGACACAGAACCTGAAATAGGCTCCAGGCTCTGAGCTGTCACCACAGAGCCTGACGTGGGGCTCGAACTCACGGACTGCGAGATCATGACCTGAGCCAAAGTCAGACTCTCAACCTACTGAGCCACCCAGGCGCCCCTGCAGTCTGACTCATCTTAATGCTAAAGGCTTAAGTAAACGCTTTTCTATTTCCCTTAAACAAGCTAGAGAAATTATCACACACTGCCCCACTTGTGGGCCTATTGTCATTCCTCTGTACTCTCTGGGCGTTAATCCCAGAGGTCAACAACCTAATGATTTATGGAAAATGGATGTTACTCATGTTCCACAACTTGGTCGCTTTGCATATGTACGTGTATCAATAGATACATATACTGGTTTTATATGGGCTACACCTTTGTCAGGAGAAAAAATGGCCCGTGTTATTCACCACCTTTTAGAAGCATTTGCCACAATGGGACTCCCCTGGAATCTTAAAACTGACAATGGCCCCGCTCATACTTCTCACACTTTTCTTATATTTTGCCAAAAATGGGGCATTCACCATACTACAGGCATTCCTTACAATCCACAAGGTCAAGGTATTATTGAACGTGCTAATCGTATATTAAAAACCATGTTACAAAAACAAAAACAGGGGGATGTGGCCTTGAATCCAAAGAATCAATTAATGAAAGCATTATTTACGCTTAATTTTCTGGATGTAAGAGTTGAACAAGAGCTCACCACAGCTGTAAAACATCACACAGCTTCTAATACCAGATCCCTTTCACAACCAATATTTTGGAAAATGATAATAATCAATGGTTCCCTGGGCATGTTAAATCGTGGGGTTGGGGATTTTCTCTTGTAGCCACAGATAATGGAGATATCTAGCTCCCAGCCCGGCAATTAAAACCACAATATGAACAGATGGGCGAAGAGAAAAAGAGTCGATAATTTTCAACCACTGGAGAAAGATAGGGAAGAATTAAGCCTCAAACGAGAAATAAAAAGAAGAACCGAAAAAACAATGAAAGCCAAACCTCCGACATGGGGACAGACGAAGAAGATGACTCTAGAAGCAGAACAGATCCTCCAAAAAAACAGGAACACCTAAGACTTCTACTCTGTTTATTGCCATGGTATCAGTTCTTATTTTAACCGTGAGTACTAAAGAGAATCACACATATTGGGCTTATATTCCAAATCCACCTCTTAATAGATTAATTACATGGGATGATCCCTCTTTCCCAGTTTATGTAAGTGATTCAGTCCGGTTGCCTGAACCTTATGATAATAGAGGCCCATTTAAACCAGAAGAAGAAGGAAAAATAATCCCTGAATATTCTGTAGGTGCAGATGGGCCACTTATATGCTTTGGAATAGGTGAACACTGTGTTACATTTCGTTCACAGGCATGGATAGCAAAAATAACCAATGGGACTAATGTCTCTATATTGTATTTACTACAGGGAGTCTCCATGAGAAGTCAGAGAATTACATATGCTCACCCTCCTAAATTGCCTCGATGTCAATTAAGAAAGGTTATAAATCCTGAGGAATGGGTTAATTGGGAACTCTGTAGAGGAGAGGTTGGTAGAGTTCTTCTTAATACTTCCAATGGAAGCATCCTTAATTGAGCCTCTGTAGGCTCTGCTCAGACCAAATACTCCAAAAGAGAGCTCCGATGGTGTCGATATCAAGACGACATCATTTCAGATGTAACATCTGAACCCATTGTATGGCATGAAGGAGCGATGACTCCCCCCAGCCCACGTTTACCTGATGGACCAATTCATTCAGAACTCTGGAAAATTGGTACTGGATTATTAGGCATGACCACTTGGAAAGGCCACTTAATGAATATTTCAAATAAATTCTCCATCTCTTTTAGAATCAATGAGACTCATAAAATTCAAGCATGTGTCAGACTTCCTTTTCTGTTTATGTTAGGCATGCCTCATTGGGACCTTGATAACAATCTTCTTACTTGCCATCATTTTTTTTTTTTTTTACTTGTCTTAATTCTACTATTTCTTTTAACCAGGAAAGAACAAAGCTTATATTATCCTTAAGGCACGAAATGGGGTTTGGATGCCTG